AGCTGTTTGACTTCTGATTTATCTTCTAAGGGCAGCCAAGGTGAAAATGACATTTGCTTTGCTTATTTTATTGATGACATAAACCTACTGAGTAAAGCACAATTCATCCAGTACCAGCTGGCAGCCTAGAATAAAACTGAAGAACCATATGTCAGGTAATGACACAGTATCTAATTTGCCATCTAGATGTACATGCTTTGGAAATAATATCTGCAGTAGTAGATACAGCACATGTGTGTACAATCCCCCTTTGCTCCTAACCAAGTTAAACAAATTAGGCACTGAAAAACATTAATTGGTTGTTTTTTTTTGTTGTTTTTTTTTGCTGTTAACCATACTTTCATTTTGGGGGTTCACTGTTAATTGTTTTTAGAGCTGGTGAAGAGGAAAGAGAACATTACATAATATATCTTTACCTGACATTTATCTCTACAATGTCCTGTGAAAGTATTCAGACCCTTCCTCTGGTATCTCATTTTGTGAAATTAAATGTGTGATGACACATTTTTTCGTCTTAATATTTTATTCAACACCTCAGTGCTCAGACTGAATTCTTGTAAGGGTAAGATAATTTACAGATTGTCTTTCCACAGATTAACAATAGGATTCAATTCTTTGACTGAATTCTTTGACTTCCTTACTCTTAAACCACTCTAGGGCCCTTGTGCTTCGAATAATTGCTGAAAGTTTAAACCTTTGCCCCAGTTGTAGAGGTCTGAAGTAGGTTGTCCCCTTAGGTTTTGCAGTACTGTGCTCCTTCTGTGTTACCATTAGTCTTGACAAGTGTCCCATTCCCTACTGATGAGAAGTAGAACTGTAATATGCTGCCACCACCATGCGGGACAGTAGAGATGGTGCTGACTGAGTGTTGTTCGATAATGGATTTTCATCAGATGTATGCCTAACAATTCGCTTTTAGACCACAAATTCAGATTTTATCTTGTCTAACCAGGAAACCTTCTTGCCCCATGTTTGCAGACCCCATGCATGATTTCAGATGGAATTATTTTTTCTTTCCACACAAGCTCCTTTCTGGTTTCACGGGGATATTGTTGACCCATGGACATTCATCTCATCTCAGCTATTGAACTCTGTAGCTTTCAATGTCCCCACTGGCCTCCGTAACCAGTTTCATCAAGCTGGCTTTGCCCAGCTGCTCAGTATAGGGTGTGAGCCTGATCTAGGCAGTGACTGGGTGCCTTCCACTTCTTAAAGATCGACGTCTCCATGCTCAAAGAGATATTAGGAGCCTTTGAAATGTTTCTCGATTGTTTTGAAATCTCCTTCATGGCTTCATGGCTGAATTTCTGCTGCATATTTATTGGCTGAGGGACATTATAGAGCGTATCTGCTGTGAAATCATGTGAACAATTATGCTATTACTGCCACTAATTGTGTGGCTCGATAAGGTCATTTTGTGGAGCTACCTTAAATATTTGCCACAGCAAATATTTTGAATATTTGTAGTCATGACTTTTCTTCAAACTCTTTCCTTCTTTTTTTTGTTTTTTGCTTGAATGTGTAGAGACGTTTGTGTGTATACCAAATCTGTATTACTGCTTCAATCTGTCATGACTGTAAGCTTTAAAGAAACAATGTGAAAACTGTAAAGGGTCTGAATACTTTTGCAAGGCAATGTACATTTGACTTACAAATCCCCATCTGACTAATCTTCTCCATGCATTCCAAAATGCAGATCTAATATTTTTCAACTTTTTTTCTTTCTTCAAATAAACCCTGTTTCCAAAGAAGGATGAGGTCAGTGTCCATCCTTATGAAGTTATCACGGGCAGTGAGTGGATTTTAAGATCCAAATACAGTAGCGTACAGTGTATATACAACTATCATGGCACAGCTAACTTATATTTAAAAATACCTCAGCGGAATATGTTCATTGGTAGCGGTGTTATGTATGTTGAATGTCCAAATGAAGGAACATAACCCTATCAAATTAGCCCACTTCTTATATTTTTATTTAGACTCAAGTACGTCAGAGTAGCATTGGCACAAGAATCCTGTTATGTATAGTGTAAAAGTGGAGGCTATTTCTGAAAATGACATAGCTGAAAGAGCTAACAGTCTATCTAAATATAGACTTAAAATAGCTGGCCGCTCCAAAGTCATATTCTTGTTTTTGTTAGGAGTTGTTACCATAAATACTGCTTTTTGCATGGATGTTTCCAGAAAAAGCATTGCCTGTATATGAGTTATAAAATGCATTACGGCATCTTATAAGGTTACAATTCCTTCTTTCTTGTAGGCTCCCGTCATTTAATATAGTTTAAGCTTCATCTGCCCTGTAGTGATCAATTTATTTGCATGTCATAGATATAATAGTCACCCACTCTATTATTATAGCATAGAAAATATTCAAACCATACATTGGCTTTGAAGTATTTAACACTAATGAAACATTCCAACAATTTCATAGCCCCTCAAATAGTAGGGATGAGTTATAAAGTGCATCCTTAGTTAGTGTTTGAAAAAAAAAAGATAGTTCTTCTAGTCAGCCTTGGTCTGTTTTCATTTTTTTTCTGCTGTAACTGGTTGCGGGTTTGGAGCTGGCCCCCAGAGCCTTGGTCCTGTTTTAGTCAAATGGACTCTCCTACTTCTCTGAAGTGTGCTGATGATGCTGTTGCAGTGCAATAAAACGGTTTTATAGCTTGGTGGGTTAGGTGAATAATTGCTTCAGACATGGGTTACAGGGCCTGTACGGGCAGGAGGAGCAGAGAGCATCGTAAAATCTTTGCCCTGGTTTGATGTCGATGCTATGTGATAATGTCATCCCATGTAGTATTTTAGGCTTGTAGAGTATCCGATGGAACGTTAAATGAAGTGTCTAGGAGTCCACAAGAGGGGCATTTTAAGGATCTGTTATAATGGGCTGCAGTTATGCATTATTGATTATGTGGTATTTCTGAGCTTTGAGTTGTATAATGTACTGTGTGGCTGCTCCCTGTGAGTCTCTATCACCTTATTTAATTGCCCATTCCGACAGCTGGCATTTAGGACAATTGGCAAAGGCTCTTCATGTTCGTCTGTCTTTCGACGAGTTTGGAGGGCCTCTCAGCTGTGACTTTGTTCCCTCAACTGCTCCTCCACTGTCCTGCAGCAAGTCCTTCTCTTGTCCTGGCCTGTATTACATGGCCCCATTCGAAACCCCCTGTATCTGTTATCACATATCTGTAAACATACAATTTTCGCGTTGTCTGGTACCTTTACTGCTTTTGCGACTATAGCTATTGTTTTTTCTGTGTTTTTAAAAGTCATTGAGTTCGCGGTGCTCAAAGGCCGCTATATGGAATGCAGCACCGCGTGTGTCGATAAATGAATTTAAAATGGGAGAGGATGCCCTTGGGAAATTTCTTCATGGTTCCCACATTTGACTTCCCAGGAGGATTTCAGTGACGGCAGCACAGAAGTGCAAAGGTTAGGCTTCTCAGACTGCAAGCCTCCTCATAAGGTCTTAGGTTTTAGGCCTGTTCATAAATGTATGTATTTATTTATTGGGTCGCTTTAATATATTTCCGGGATTCTGCACAGGAAATCGCAAAGACTTTCCTCAGGCACAGCTGTCAGAGCTCTTTCATCCTTTGCGTATTGAAGCAGCAAAAAAGTTTAAAGAATGCGTGAATTGTGTTTAATTTTCAAATTCACAGGAGGGAAAGGGGAACATTTTTTTTAAATTAAGGTGGAATTCCAGCTTGTCAAGCCTGGATTTGTAGCCTTTTCTGGTTGGCAAGATATCCCACCTTCCTGTTTAAATGTACACATCCATTGGACGTCTATAACTATGAGGATGTGAAGTGTCCCTGTGGCTGTAGAGTAACCAGGAGAATTCCAAGTTGAAAACCCATTTTTGAATAGTGTCTCTTTTTTATAACATCTTGTTCAGAACAACAGACTAACTGAATGTCAATTTAAAAAATAAAGCAACATTGAATGGGTTGTTTCATTTGCATTGGTGACTGCCCTTCTGTTGTTTTGAGCGTTTTGTACTAAATGAAGAACCTGCTCTTGTGTTATGTGCTGCAGTCCCAGCGAACTCGGTCTCTGAGTGATTTTCCATGGCCTGGACCTTGACTGTCCCACCTGTGTGGGCACTCTCTCTCAGTCTCCCAGTTCCTCACCAGGATGTGCTGAGCAGGACTCACTATGAAAGTGCCCTTGTTTTTATATTAATATTTTATTATTAAAAGTGCTTGAGTTACCTGCTGGCTTTTCGGATTATCAGTTGTGAGTGGACTTTCATGCAACTGAAGGAATGTAAAGCAAGTCTCTTATAACATTAGACACCATGGAGGTGATTCTTTTATCAGAAACCATAGACGTGATGAGCTCCCTGTTTTTCCAGTTGATAGGCCTTTTTTAACGTGTAACATAGCTCAGCCCACAGCTGTATCAGTCGCTTCAAAGAACCTTCTTCATTTTATACATCTTTGAAAATGTGAAATGGTGCTTTTAGCACTTTACAGGAATGATGTATCGTACAACAGAAATCAACAACTTTGTACAATGGCCATTTTTTTGTAATCTTTGTTATTCTTTACTTCTGCTCCGAAGACCCTTTTCTCAAAAGTCTAAAATAACCTACCAAAGAAAACATGACAAAAAAGACTAGAGCAACAGAATCCAAACAGCATTTTACGTGTATGGTTAAGTGATATGTCTAAAATACCCACAAACGTCTTTTCACAGGAATGCTTCCTGACATCAGTCTTAAATGTACCATCAACGTCTGTTCGTGGTCTCTAAACAGTGCCTGGTTGTGGGACTGAGCCTTTTTTACTGTTCAAATCCCCTTCAGAATTGTATAAGCCAACAATATCCCAAGAGCAAAACGTCTCGCTGAGTTTCATATGGCAAGTGGTTGCTCCTTGGATTTTGTCTGGGCTTCCCCACGGCTGTTTAGATTGTAAAGAAACCGGAAGTGCCCTAAGTGCACAGAAATGTCTTGAGTTCTGCCAATACCCACAATTCCTCTCTTTTTCCCCTCTCAGGCCATGTGGCTGATGCTGCAACAGGATGAGCCGGAGGACCTTGTTATAGCAACTGGGGAAGTCCACAGCGTCCGGGAGTTTGTGGAAAAAGCATTCATGCACATCGGGAAAACGATTGTGTAAGTAGAAGGCCGTGGAGAAATTGTGTTGTGTACCTCTGACTCATGCTTCTTTCCAATTAGAAAGGGATTTGAACAGATATATTGCGGTCTTGTGATGTGATTGCCTTTGAGATTCCTCCTCGGATGAGTAACGGCTGGAGTTATAAAAAACCGTTCCGCCAAGCGAAGATTGCTGCATTCCTCATCCAAATGGAAAAACCAAGGAAAGGGTGCCACCAAGATAAGAGACAACTGGATTAAAAATCACAGAAAGCAAGCAGAAAAGATTTTTCTGCAATGCCATGTAGATGTATGAATGCAATACTGGTACTTTCTGTGACACAAATTCTAAGGGAGAGGTCCCAGCAATTATACTGTATAGTGGAACCTTGTATGAATATGGACTGTTTGGTATCCAGATTAAATCAGATCCGTTATTTTGATTTCTTGATTTCTGTTTCACAAAACCCAACAGGCCTCTGCTGACTTAATTACTTCATCTCTTCCTCATCTTTTTGTCTTGTTCCTGGTGTGTTGAATGTTTTGGAATGCCACCTGGTTTCCTGGTGTTGTGTTTGATTACAGCCGCTGCATAATAAGGCTTCTGACAAGAGTGACCGAGATGACGAGAGAGATAACCTGTGGAAACAAATAAGTGCACAGAGCTGTGTCAGACACCAACATACGACCTGACGAGCCGACATTCTCCCCGCCTTGCACTTCTGTGCAATTGACTTTGCAGGAGTTATTTTTACTTCAGAGGTGCTATTATCAAATCAAAATAAGAAGGCTCGACAATAGAGAGACCCACACAAGTCTTAATTCAGGCTGTGTCCCAAAACATCGCATATCAGGAAAATGCCAATGCAGTAAATGAATGCTTTGAGATATTGACACCAAGGTGTTTGCACCTTGCAGGAAAGGCTTTGAATGATATGGTCAGGAAAATGTTGCACTCTGTTTATGAAGATCCAGGGTGGCAAACCAGAGTTATTTGAAGTGAATCGCTGTTTGGAACCAGGGCGTTCCTCTCTCAGAGCATCATATTAGTTTCACGAGTGAAAGAAACAAGGAGAAGTCAATTATTTTATTGATTTAACAGTGTTTTTGATTGTGTTGTTTTTGATTATGTGTATTGATTCAGAAAGGTAGATAGCACAAGTGCTTCAGAATGTGAAAAAAGATGTGAACAATTGGTACAGTTATTTGCTAAACTCTGCCTAATACTGTGATTGCAATAAGGTTTAACTGTTTATTCTGTCTTTGTCAAACAGACCTAAGCTGAAGTAAATATGCATTTTATGTGCATATTTTAGTTTAATTTTTGAGTTGCGCCATATATTGCTAGCATTGTATAATGCTTTGCAAAACGTATTGCTTGTCATGTCATGTAGCTATAGAGGGATTTCTCAACAAGCAAAGGAAGGCAAAGCAGCTGTTTTGCAAAGCAAGGACAGTATTTAAGTTAAAGGCAGGGAAATGAGACCCCTACTGTGAGATTTTAATATTTAATGTTTTCTTCATTCAGCCCTCTTTAACTTCTACTGTTTGACTTTTTTTCAGGACATTATAAACTCACTTAAGATTGAAAAGGCTACCAGCATGAATTTCTGCTTTGATGTTTGGAATCATAGATAGACGAGCAGATGAACTCCCTTTCCTCTCCATTCATTCAGTTTAATAAGATTTTTCTCTCACTGATTTTGTTAGGACCCATATAATTTTAATTGAAATGACATTTGTGATTATTTCTTTTAATTACAGGATCATTATTGAGAACACCACTGATGTTGTGAACTGTATATCAAAGTTTTGGTTTTACTCATTTGCAGGTCTTTAATGAAAAACAATCCCCTTGAATAGCTTCTGTGCGTGTGCGCCTCTCTTGATTTAAACAGTTTGTGTACTGACTTATAACACCACTGAGAGGCTTTAAGAGAGTACTTGTTTAGTTAAAAAACAGTTTGCCTGATTTCAGAGATAAGGAGAATAAAAATCAAGTCAGCTTTATGAAGACACACCAATCCATTCAGTTACTGAATTCCTGCTCTTTGAAAGCAATCCTTAAATGAATGCATTGCTTTAATCTTCTCAGAATTGTGTCATCTCTGTGTAAGACCTGGATTAAATTTTACAAATTGTAGAATATTACATGAGGTTGGTGATTTATAAATGCCATTTTATGTTTTTTGGGGTATTTATTATGAAGTATTGCTTGAAAACACTGAGTCAGTGGTTTAGATCTGGGGCCAAAACCATTCATGTTTCACAAATAAATTCCCCTGTTTCCTTCTGAATATTGTTCTTTGGAATTAAAACAGGCTCAAATCTGTTTTATCAAGCACAGGGCATGCAGCGACACAGGAAAAAATATTTAAAACTTAAGTCAGATGAAATTGACCTTTTTATGGACAAAAATTAATTTCGCATAAATGTTTATCTGCTTATTATGACTACTGTTGATCAGAAAGACTAATTTGAGTTGGACAGAAACCTTGAGTTTGAGTTTTCATATCACCAACCTGTTTAATGTTTTTCAAAACCATGTTATTCTGTTCAAACAGAGTAAGCTATTGGAAAATTGTGCTGGTTGTCTTAATTGTACTATTTACAATCACATTTTGCTGCTGATAGAATTGTCTGCTGTTATAACAACTTTCAATTTTCATTTCAAGGCTAGTCTGACAGAGAATAGGCCAAGCTTGTCATGTAGTGATCTTTGTTTCAGTCCTCCATGATCAATAATCTGATTACAGCAAATTAAATGAGAAAAAAGAACAGTAGATCTGAAGTGTTTTAGTAGCTAATCCATCACATTTAGTGATGTGTGATTTACTCATTGTCAGGTTATTCCTCATATTTAGCATCATTTGTTCGTCTCTGCACACCAGAAAGCTAAAGGGCTTCTTCATGTACTGTTACACACAGGAAATATCTATCAGGATTAACTGTAAATGTACAAAATGGCAAACATTTCAGTAGAAGATTATTATTGAAGTGTGTTTCTGCATAAAGATGGAGGAACACTTAGTGGAAAGAATAGAACAGAGCAAATTTCTTGAACATTTGTACAGCACTGTATTCTATATACAGTATGACTTGTATTAATATCAGTGATAATTAAAAAGAAGATATTATGCAATAACCTCCCCCTTCTTCTTGTGCTGACATTAATTATGCCTCAGGGTAGAGCCTGCAGTAAATCAGTGGTCTGTAGTGTTGTACATCACAGCTTCCACAGAATATCTATGAACGGCTAATGAGGGCTAATGTTGATGATGCAGACTAGATACAAATCTTGAAACCACTTTTTTTTTACTGCAAAGTACAGAAGCTGCTAAGAAACTTAGAAACGAAACGGCAAATTTTTCGGTGGAAGATGACAAGAAAAATGTTCAGCTGCAAGAAGTCTAAGTTTTATTTGAATGTTATTAATTTATTAAAATAAGATCCATGTTTGATTGTTACTTACTCCCATGACTTGGAATGTGCCCGTTTTGTTCGTCTGCTTGTTCATGGATCTATAGATTTTCTCACAGCTCAAAAAACTATTGATTTCTCGTTTATTTCACCACCAGCAAAAACGCTGTGAATTTTTTTTAAATTTTTTTTTAATCTTTTTATTATTTTCATTTGTTTCACTGTCAGCATCCTATACTTCCAATTCTACTCCATTCTGTTGTAGAATTCTACAAATTCTACTTTAGTGCAGGGAAAAGGTTAAAGGAAACGGAGGAAGCTCATCCTCGGAGGTGTCTTTGGGACTGTATTTGAGACTGGAGAACGTGCGGTCCTCCCTGCTTCATTAGATGGTTGCTCTGTCCGCAGATGGGAAGGCAAGAACGAAAACGAGGTCGGCCGGTGCCAAGAGACTGGAAGGATTCATGTCAGAGTTAATCCCAAGTACTACAGGCCCACTGAAGTGGTAAGTTAAACACTACCTGAGAAATTAATGGTGAATTATCAAATCGCTCAGCCGGCTAATTGTTTCATTTGGCCGCATTGTTTGTGAAAGTGGCCTCATTAAACTCCTGCTGTCAGAGTCCTATACTTTTCACAGACACTATGGGAAACCAATTACGTTGCCTTGACAGCAGTGAAACTAGTTACTCAGCAGTGGCTACTCACAGGAGAAGCCCATTTAATGTTTTACTTTGGCCCCTGAAAGAAATGCCTCCAGGAAATTAACTTCTTCCCCCTGAAGTCACCAAGTTGGGAAGAAGTTTCCAATTTGAATAAATACACTTTTAATGAGGGAATATAATAGGAAACCAATGAGACAGGAAAAGCTTTGCCTGGTATCGGACAGCAGTATGAAATGCTGACAGGTTTTCTCAGGGGTTCTTTAAATTCAGGCTGTAGTGAAATGTTCTGAAAGCTGGAGGGTGTCTGGGATACAACTGAGGACTTGTAGTGAAAATATTTTTTTTCTTAGAAAACATTGAAAGAAATGTGGAAGAAAATTTGAAAAGGGTTTTCTTGGGAGTGTTTTTTTATGGAGGGGGCTGAAGGTGGATGGGTGGATGGAGCACTCTTTCGACTCACCATAAGTACTGATTGTAAAAAACAATCAGCCTCGTTTCCTTATCAAATCCCAAACAGAGGAACAGGGATGTTTATCGCTGTCGGATAAGGCACTGCCTTCTGATAACCTTGTCAGTAATAGTTCCTAGTATTCTGCCGATATTTTAAAGAAAGTTGAAGAAAAATGGGTTAATTGGTTAAAAAATAGTACTTCTGTTAGTACTAATGAACAATCAGACATTTTTATTAAAATCAAATAATGCCTCTTACAACGTTTTTATAGGAATTTTGTTGAAAACAAAATCCATTTTTGATGTTGTGGTGCTGTGCTTTTAGTAACTGCAGTTTGATGTCACTTCTCACTTGTTAGTACCGTCTTCTCTGGTCAAACGTTAAAACAACAAATAACAGACATTTTTATACATTGTGTTAAACAGAAACAAGTGTATTCCTGTATAAACAGTGACCTTGTATTTGTCTTATCGGTGTCCTGTCCATAGTCCTGAGCTTTGCAGGTCTCTAATTTCCCACTGATTCAGGGATGGATGGTCCTAGTGTTTGAGAGCTGGTGCCTCTGTAGGTTTTCATGGCAACTTTCTTGGCTCCTAATGACCCAAACCAAGTCGTTACTGGTTACAGGTGCTGGCACTTTGAAAAGCCCTAGTAAACCTGTGGACACAACTGGGCCTTCAGGACCACCCGTTCATTAGCCGCAGCGCGGGCCAATCTGGAGTTTACCGCTTTCATTAGCATTTGTTTATTTACATTTGGACCCTCCAACAGTGCGTCCCTCCCACTTCCTCCCCATGGGTGACACTGTTGCCACGACACCGACAGCTGCTCCTGAGAGGAGGTGTCCTGCCCAATAGATGGCAAATGGTGCCAACACCCGAGGCTTAGCTTCCCTCAAGTTTGTATAATCAGCTGTGACGGAGGCACTGGAGTGAGCAACCAGGGTGCTGATTTCTTTTTTTATCTTCCTACCAATTCCCAAACGCAGGGCAGTCAGAGCTCCATACTGAGCCCATAAACCACATACAGTATTAACATCAACTAAACGAACGAACATGATTTTCTTTTGTTTTTCTGCCTTACTACATTCTGGGCTGTTTCAGATATTATTTGGGCCTTTTCTTTTTCTTTCGTGTGTGTGTTAGGCTAATTGTATTACTTATTTATTCATTTAAATAGCAGTAAAATGCACACAGAGTCTACTGGCCTTTTTTTATGTGTGTAGGGACAGTCAGTGGAAACAGGGTTAACTCATTTTTTCTGGAAATTTCTTCTTCATAACTTATATTGTTACTGTTGTGATAATGTAGATACTAAAGTAACATTTATTCAAAGAATGATTCATTAAAAAAATAAACTAAAGAATATTTGCATGTTTTATAGTTAAGCATGACCAGTTTTTATAGTTTTTTTCTTCAGCTCCAGACCACCAAACATAAAAGAATATGATTTCTTCTTATTTAAGTATTTTACATAAAATAGAGGATTCATTTGTGATTAATGCTCTGTATCATCGAGTCTAAATTCCTAAAATGGAAGTGATCCACAATATGTTTTAATAATGGGACTGGGATCTGTACAATTTCAGATACTTGCAAAAGATCCTAGAGTACCATTTTGCCAGAATATGTCTTTTGTAATATATTGAGCGTCAAAAGAAACTTTAATTAAAATTGCATGAAATAGTTACAATCAGAGCAGGGCCCAGGTTATTAAATAGAGCACCATACCTTAAATTCTGTACGTTCTCTCAGTTAAAGACACAGAGATCTTCTTCTCTGTCCATTCACTAACCAATGTTTTATTTTCTTTGAAATGTAAGTGACTTGTTTTTACAGTTTAAGTGAATAAATCCTTCAGCTGACAATCATTTTATTATTCATGTTTTTAAAGTTAATTTCTGTTAAATTTTCTGAATTTTGTTTGGGCCTGACTGTACTGGAGAGAAATGGGGTCGATTGGTTATTCACTGTACTGGGGACCGTGAATTAGGCTGCCTTCATTTGTGGGAAGATTATGGGTATCAAACAGTCGAGGGAGAACCTGGAAATCTTCCTTTTCTCTGAACTAGTGACTGCTCTGAAGTACACTTCAGGATTCAGGGATTAAATAGGAGTTAAACCTCTGTTTAGAGATCTGCACACATTGGCAGTGTCTGTTAATCATAGAAGGGTGAAGCAAGTGATCTGTGCAGATTTCGTCTTCTATGCCTGCAATCCTAAACCAAATTTATATCTGTATGCGTCAGTCCTGTTGCCTTTAATTGACAACACCAGGTATAAAAATCTGCACCGCTGGCCACACTCTCACAAAATAATGCCCAGACAATGAAAACCGGTTGTGACGAACATTTGTGTAGATCGTAAGCCATATTTATGTGTTTTTTTTCTGTGCCAATACAGCAAAAACCCAGGTCTCTAGCAGGAAGGGAACACATCCAGTGCCAAGCTGACACTGAGAGGCACACTGTACTCCACATGTCCCCCATTCCACTGTAGTGTTTGTACAGCACTTTAAGAGCTGGGGATATCTGAAGCGATGACAGATTCACCACCCCCTTATTCGTCACTGCAAGGACCCATTAATGCCCTCTGAAGCACTGCTGTCTAGTGACATGGTGCAGAGTGGACAAAGGTGTATTCACCAAGGTCCTCACACATAGTCTGCCAAAAATACACAGGAAGACCAGTTCAGGCCGTGACTCTGTGATTAAATGTGGGCTTATTAGGAAAGCCTTCCTGATCTCTGTCTTAACTGGGCTGCAGCATTATATGGCCGCCATGGGGTAAAACACCTTCTAATGCATTTCGGGGCAACGTTTTTTTTCTCTGTCATGAGTACAGCGTGCTCCAGTTATGTGATTTTGATTCGTTTGAAAACGTTAAGAACCGACATTGTCTATAGAGTGTGAACAAAGTCGGGGCGGAGTTCCGGCTAGTTAGCGAGCTTCGTGGGACTTTGGGCTGTGGGATACGGCGTGACGTCTGAAGCTCAGCCGGACAGCAGGGAGGACTGTCAAACCCTCATTGTGGGTGTGTGCAGTCATGTCATCAGTGTTGACACCCTGTCAGCCCCTGACTTTATTTATGCTGTTGCTTTGTTTGTTGAAAACTCCGACGTGTTCGGCTCGAAGGGTGGAAAGGGGCGGCTCCTTTTCGGTGTAACTTCCAGGATATGGGTCTCTTTACCAGGGAGTGCAGGAGAACAGCTCCACAGTGGCAGCGCTTCGGTCCTGAAAGCAAATAAAAGACAAATTACCTGGTAAAACGGCAGCTTCTTGGCAGGTATTTCTGGAACAGCATGGACAGATGGAAGCATCAACAACTTGCAAGCCCTGCTGCACATAAACCTACAAGAAGACAGTATTCCTGTTCATACTTTTTGACTATTAAAAGAAAAGGTTGCCGCTTACCAAAAGGCATGAAGCTGTAACAGTTACCTAAAAAAAAACTGAAAGAGATAATTTTAGCCTCAGAATCTGGAAATGTATGACACATTCAGTTTTGTATTTTTGCCCTGCTGAACTGGACGTACCTGTTCAGTTAAATACAGTCCCTCTGACCAGATATACCACATTGGTGCTGTGTTTGCCAGCTATGGAACCTTGTTAAATTAATCACTAATCATTGCTGCGAAAGTATGGAGAGAATCATGCTTCTCCTCTAGTCAAACCCAGTTAAAACGTGTACCAAAAGCCCAAAGTCAACCAAGTCAGAGCAGGCAATAAATCAAAAAAGGCTTTCTTTAATGAACAGTGAAAACTGTGCCAATGCAAGGATTCAGTGCAGCTGGTCAAGGTTTTATATTAAACTGAATTCCTTTCGTTATTTAGGAGGAGCTGTAAAGGATTTGTAGCAGTCCATCTTTGTCATAAAGCTTGGCATGATTGTAGTTATCTGACCATAAATGCAGAAGCCAGAGGCTTCTCATAACAGTAGGAGTTTACTGCCTGATCTCACACCAACTGTGTTCCTGGGAAAGTAATTGAAATCAGTTTTTATGAATAACCTTTGTGACAGTACAGTCCTTTCATAGTTACACCCTGCATTAGTCTTTAAACGTTTGCTACAGCTAATATTCTTTACATGTCATTTTTTGCCACCTTTCCCCTCAACATGTTTTTAAAGGAGCTAGGAATTGATTGTACCACGTTCTTTGTCCTGTGGTGACCTGGAATCCAGGCCAGGGTGTAGTTCTGCCACAGGCCTTGTGCTTCAGTGTTTCTGGGACAGACTCTGGGTTGCCACAGCCCTCACCAGATATGGGGAGCTTTTCTGATGGATATTTAAAAGAACTTGAATAATCAGCTGTCTCCAACATACAGTATAAAAACATTCCTGTGTGACCGAGCATTTATGACCGCTAAATGCAGTAGCTGTGTGTATTAGT